GTGGATCGTCTCTCAGACGTGACTTTCCAGACAAAAGACACTTTGCACAGTTATGTACTGAATTTTATAAATATTTATTGAAAAAACCGAACTTCTACGTCCCATTCATTCTTCAAAAAATACATCTTAAAAATTTCATAGTTATTCCAAAACAGTAAAGTAGTATATCAGTCAATTTTTTTGTATTCTTAAATAAATCCAGGTAAGATGTAAACTATTTTAGGGTGAAGTGAATAATTAAAGATTTCTTGGATGAATAACTTAACTACTTTTATTCATTTGTTTCGTGTCTATCACCAAACAAAAGTAGTTGAAATTATTTCAAAAACAATACCAATGTTAATATATTTGGAAAGATTGTGGAATAGTTCAATAAATTCAAAGTATATTAAATAAAAGTTAAATTATTTCAAATTTGTAATAACCATTTCTAAATTAGGGGCAAGGGCTGGACTGGCCCAGTTTTTGGTTTAGAAATGTGGTCACACTAGTTAGGGCATTAAAAGTTGTGTGAGAGTTGTAAGACAAGCATTTTTCACATTGCATCTGTTGAGAATTAAGCGTTTAAGAACCCTCAGTCTAATAACATTGACAAAAGATGTAAGTTCATACATCCATGGTAAAGAAGATGGTCAATGACATCACTGCTTTTAGCAACAATGGTATCAGGTTTGACCTGATGGCTCAGAGATAATATCCTATTCAATGGTTAGAGGATCCACACCATGATAAACAAGGGAGGTCTTTTAAGCAGTGTGTGTATAAATTATTTATGGAATTTTTAAGTCTTTGTAACTTACCATTTAATAACCCAGATTGTGAATGAGGCCTCTACGTCGCAGATTATATTTTTACATATCTGTTCGTTTGTTAATTTCCCGTAAATATTCTTTCCGAAGAACTTCAGCGATACAAGTCCTTTCTTAAATAAAACTAGTTTATTCTTTCTCAATACAACTTTGCAATACACAGAATTTCCACAGTCACTTTAAGTTAAACACACGCTATAATTCACAACGATTCACACACTTTACTTACAGTCACTACCGCTCACTTGACTCAATTATCTGTCACTATATCTCTCTTCAATCTGCTATTTGCAATTATTATCTCCGCTTTATTTGCTGGGCTTATATATTAAAATAGAAGGCGCCTAGAAAAGACTAAAGTTGCCAGGAACAGTCATGATCCTTCTAGAAACTGGAGTTTTTAGAAGGATCATGATTTATTGAGGAACCCCGCGAATGTCCGAGTGTTTGCCAGGCGCCCTCTTTTTTAATATATAAGCCCGGCAAATAAAGCCAGCGAGTGAGAGATATGCAGATCGATTGAAGAGATAGATAATTGAGTCAAGCAAATAGTTTGGCACCGTAAGTAGTGTGTGAATCACTGTGATTTATAGCATGTGTTAAGTTTAAAATGACTGTGGAAATTCTGTGTATTATAAAGTTGTTTCGAGAAATAATAAACTAGTTTTAATTAAGAAAGGACTTGTATCGCTGAAGTTCCTCGGAAAGAATTTATACCGGAAATTCAGAAAATTATCAAACGAGCAGATACCTAACAATACCTTTAGTGAAAAGGGATCTATAACTGGCTGATAGTAATTCAAACAAACTAACTAGATCATATACTGATTAATTAACTAACAGATTCAATCTTTGAATAATTCACTGAATGAACATGCGCGTAGGCAGAGGAGGTGTGGCACCTTTTAAGTTGTACCCATGCAATACTTGTATAAAACACATTTAAAAGGTGTAAAACAGCCTCAGATACCTACCATCAAAATGCTCCGTTTTCAATGAAAATACAAAGTTTCCTAGACGCATGCCCCCGGACCCATAAGTGTGGTTTCGACACTCATTTCCCTTTCCTTCCAAAAGTACACTCTTTTTTATATATTTCTGGCTATACACCTGATGAGTTTACTGACTATCTAACTAAGTAAATAAATAACTGACTCAACAATCTATGTATTCTAGCCTAAGTAGTGTTTCATACTGCTCAAACTGTTCTAAAACTTTGCAGAACATCGCAGACGTTAATCCATGCCCTTAACACATCATGTTACACCACCATCTGGCCAAACATCACTAGAAACATCTAATTTATAAACTTAGCCTATAACTTGCTCTACCTACTCATCGTTAACTGGTGGCCGTAGATCTTCTGTGCACGAGCTCTGATTCAAGTCTTTTTGCACACATGAGAAGGTTTCGGGTAGAAATTCTGTGGTAAATATAGCTTCATGGATGGCAAGAAAAGCTTCACTTTGGCATCTTAGACTGATTTCTTCGTAGCTGCAGACTGCTTGTCGCTGTTCTTCTGTATAGCAGTAAAATGAGAAAAAGCTATAAGGTTTTCATGGTTCTTCGAAAACTACTATGACTTCGCTATAAAAAAAAATTACCAATTAGGCCTAAATTATAAAAAAATTCTAAGATTTTCATGGTTCTTCGAAAACTACTATAACATTCGCTATAAAAACAATTTTACCAATTATGCTTAACTGAATATTTTCAATAAAACTTAGAGGAAACATATCTCAGGTTCACATATTAAACATGTGAACACACTTAGATCCGTAACACACAAAAAATATGTTAAATTACATCCAGACTTTACCCACAATTACAAACATTTTAAATGCACTTCCATTTTGATTATGACGACGTAATATGAACAAAGAGATTATTTTATAGAGATAGGCCTAATCTAATTGCGTGATTTATATATCATGTTATATTTCCTTGCTTACGAAATTGGATGAAAATTTAGAAGGGTAAGATTTGGATAGGTTCATGTTCATCAGAATGCCGTAGTGTGAAGCTGAATCTTAAATTGTTTGCTTGTTTTTGAATATTCGCGCAAAGCAATCGAAGAGCTAGCCATTCCTAACTTTGAACTTGTACACCAAAAGGAGGGCAACTAGTCAACACCATCCACCGCCAACTCTTGGGCTACTCTTTTACCAACGAATAATGGGATTGACTGTTACATTATAACGACCCCACGGCTGAAATGGCGAGCATTTTCGGTGACGAGGATTCGAGCCCAAAACCCATTATCCACCAGGCCATGCTAAGCCGTTAGGTAAAAATAAAATAGAATATAAATTGAATTTCAAGATGGCGACAGGTGCTCGAGTGAGATAGAAAATTTACTGGAAATGATGAAACAATGGAAAGAAAAACAAGGTAAAAAATTAAAATAAGATCAAGAAGAAAAAGACAGAAAGCTAAAAGAGGACTACGAAAAAAAAAGGGCCAAAAACTGAAAGAAGAGCAAGAAGAAAAACAGAAAAATTAAAGGAGAACAAGAAAAAAAAAGACAACAAATTAAAGGAAGACCAAGAAGAATTGTTTGTTTGTAATTAAGTACAAAGCTACACAATGGGTTATCTGTGCTCTGCCTACCACGGGTATCGAAACCCGGATTCTAGCGTTGTAAGTCCACAGACATACCGCTGTGCCACTGGGGGGGGGGCGACCAAGAAGAAAGAGACAAGAATGTAAAAGAAGAGCGAAAAGCAACACAAGATTTAAAAAATTATCGAAAACAAAAATGAAGTTGATTGAAGAAGTCATTGGAGACTAGCAGAAAGAATATAATAGCAAAACTGAAGTATATGTAGTAGAAAAGAACATAAAAAACACCTATGAAGATTATGATAACAAATCTGAAGAAGTAAAAAATATATTATGAAACAGAAATATCATAACAGCAAAATAATCAGAGTAAAGAGAACATCAATGCCAGGAAAACATGTGGAAAGTGAATTTGAAAATGCAAGAACAAATCAGCCACACCTCTTTCCGCAAGTACCAATGGGTTAAGCCATAAACACACCTACCTGTAAAATAAACAGGAAAACTCATCTAGTATACACCTGTCATTATTTCACTGTGCCAGCTATGATTGCAGGACCATCTTGGAATACTCCAGTTATATTGTTGCCTAATCCAGTTCCTGACCTTAACCGCCCAGTTCAATAACCTCGCTCTGCTGAGAAACCAACAATATGTAATGGAAAAATACCGTGTGAGGCATATTAGGCTTAGTGCAAAATAATTTCCAAAGTGAATGGATGGAATAGCGAACAATAAATTATCAACCTTGCTACTCGTTTAAAATAACCAGCTTTGACAACATCAAGCAACTTTCCAGTTAAGAGCTGTGACATCTATCAAGCATTGGTAGCTGCTTTACTGGAAAGGTTTGGAGTGATACATAAGAAGGAAGTTTCTAAAACACAGTTCAGGAGCAGAGGAAGTAAAAGGACGAGACCTTAGCCATACAGAAGATATGGAAAGGCTTGCTGAACTTTCTTACCCAGTTGCCCAACGTCGTAAAATGTTGGATTGGTTGGCAAAAGGCTTGCTCAACTTTCTTACCCAGTTGCCCAACGTCGTAAAATGTTGGATTGGTTGGCAAAAGGCTTGCTCAACTTTCTTACCCAGTTGTTCAACGTCGTAAAATGTTGGATTGGTTGGCAAAAGGTTTGCTTAACTTATTTACCCAGTTGTTCAACGTCGTAAAATGTTGGATTGGTTGGCAAAAGGCTTGCTCAACTTTCTTACCCAGTTGTTCAACGTCGTAAAATGTTGGATTGGTTGGCAAAAGGCTTGCTCAACTTATTTACCCAGTTGTTCAACGTCGTGAAATGTTGGATTGGCACATAGACAACTCGTAGATACAATAGAGGATAAGGACATGAAAATTAGGCTAAAGCAAAATAGATGTACATCATTAAAGGAAGCTGTCCAGTTGGATCAGTTAAAATCACAAATAAATAACTAAATTCACCATCCATGAATTACGAACTTATCAAATCAATGATAGAGAAACATTAGTTCTCTCTGATGAAGAGCTAGAAGAGATCGAATGATTCATTAGACAGCTTTTAACTCAGAAGTAAGCCATACAATAGAAGGTGTTTCAAGAAGTAAACCATACGAAAAAATGTGTTTAAAGAAGTAAACCATACAAGAGAAGGTGTTTCAAGAAGTAAACCATACGACAGAAGGTGTTTCAAGAAGTAAACCATAGGACAGAAGGTGTTTCAAGAAGTAAACCATAGGACAGAAGGTGTTTCAAGAAGCAAACCATACGAAAAC